AAGGCACTTGTTACTAGTAGCGATGCACTTGTTCCTAGTAGCTTCTTTCTTTTGCTGTCTCTTTCTGTTGCTTGGTGTTTCGTTTTGGAACTGTGTCGATCTCTAGACCGGTTGAACGAGCAATGCAGAGCAATGCTTAGGAGCAAGGACGCTACTGGCCTTACTACCAGGAACAAGAAGCGCTACTAGTAGCAGCTCCGGGCAATGCATATATTGTGTCATCTGGCATCTTTGAGAAGAGGCTCGTCGGTAGATGTGTGACCTTGTCAGCTGGGTTGATGTAAACTGTTGTTGTTTGGGCTTAGGAATAAGGAACGAAAGTCTTCAAAGAACACTTAGGTCAAAACAAAAAAGTCAACCACCTTTTTGTCAACATCAAAGAAGCACATACCGGAAAATCATAGAAACAATGCAAGACTATATACTTAAGGTTGAAGTAAATCATACTGCGGCGAAAAGAACCCTATGATGCGTCATGTCTTAATGTGTCGCTGTTTTCTAAGACTCAGCGTGACTAACCATAGCTACTAGGAACAAGTGCCACGCTAGTAGTAACAAGTGCCTTACTAGTAGTAACAATGTTTGCTATTGGAAACAAGTGTCATGTATGCACTTTGAACCATCGCAGTCATCAGAACACTGAGCTCCAAACCCCTTCGCCGAACCACCGTGAGGTCAGTGAGGTCGAGTCGGTATCAGTAGTGCTGGCATCTGACGGTAAGAAGTCATTCTCCTTTGTCATAGCCTGACACACCACTCTGCTGGCTCTGCTTATGGCAGTTGGAGGCCATCGCTTCTAGGTTGGAGTCCATCGCTAGTAGGCTGGAGGCCATCGCTTGAAGGTTGGAGGCCATTGCTTTCGTGCTAGATTGAGACACGTCATACGGTACCTTACGGTATTCCTTCTTCAACTTGTTGCCTTTCTATGAGTTCGTGAAACTCACCCAATCCGAGAATGCACATTCCTGTAGCATGAGTTGCCAACTGGTCAGCGTTGTCTACTACAGGTCTCGCTTTCAGAAGCACAAGAGTCTGCAAGGACCAGTGTTGCGCTTGAAAGTGAATGGGCAGTCCTCACGTCGCACTAGTCCAACTGCCTTAGTGGGATAGCAATCAATTGGCCATTTGCACTTGGACTCTTTCTGGCAGAAGAAACATGATCCATGTGACATGATCTGCGCAAAATAAGGAATCCAATGCTGGCAAAAACGAAAAGAACAAAGGACGTCGGAATGCTTGGTCATGTCAGAACTACTCCGCAACTTTTTTGCAAAGGCATAGTGGGTTCCCTTTACTTGATGCAAGTGCCACTCTGACAAAGGCTATTTCCGAAACCCAGCTCTTTCGATGCGCATGAGTGTCATTTCTTGCAAACCCGTTTGTGGATGAATTAAGCACTTGGATCGGAAGCATGATTCTTGCGAAGAATGGAGCACAAGAAAAGACCGCCATGGTCTTAGGCATTTGGCAACTACATATGGGAATGCTGGCGAGGTCTCAAAATGTATTACAATGGCAGCACGAGGCCGACTTCTGGTTTGCCTTTCCAGCAGTTTGCTGGCGCTCTTAGGTTGGAGACCATCGCTATTAGGAACAAGAAGCTACTAGGGGCTCCTGGCATCGCTACTAGGAGCGTTCGGACGTACTACTAGGAACAAGAAGCTTCTAGGAGCAAAGGGCATCGCTGCCCAACCGGGCGTCTCCAGGTGTTCAGGTAGCTGGCTGTGCTCGGCAGTTTTAAAGTACCACACATGACCATGAAAAATGTTTCATCCCAATGCCGCCGGCACCAACACTACACTGCATCGCAAATCACCACACAAACACCAAAAAAACAGCATCATCCAATCAGAAATCGCACTGAATTGCAACATATTCTATTGTACCTCACCCAAAATCAACACTTCCTAGTCTGACGCA